TGCCAGTTGTCACAAATCTTTAAACAGAGAAATGAAAAACCTAACTAATGAAGGGTGTTAGTTCCATCATTTAATCAAGCTTCATGGTCAAATTAAAAGTTTAAGATTAGAGTTGACTTATAAGTATTTCGCAAAAATTGATACAATCCATTTTATATATTAATATATAATACGTTTGTTTAAAGCGACAACAGCAAAAAAAAAAAAACAAAACAAAAGAAGTTAATACATTTGTTTTAAAAAACAAAATATTATTCTTAGATTTCATACCACACTCAAAAACCAAAGGCTATATACACACACACATATATAGCATTGAGGTCTCGGGTTCAAGTGATATGGGACGCAACTTCTACTAAACGACGACTCCTTGCGTATGTACGGGTATGAGGACAATACACATATCCCAAATATAGGGACATAAAGGCCAAAGGGCCGCTGACTCTTGGATGATCAAAAAAGAAAGATATAGTTGTTAAATGTTTTTTAGAGCATGTACTTGTGTACTTTTTGAGATTTATTTTATCGTTTGTCAAGCATATGCTAGAAAAGTTGTTCTTGTCCATAAAGATTTAGAATGCCCGATTCAAAAAAAGGAATTGATGGTCAACAAGGACATGTATCGCCCTCTTTTGTAAAGCATCCAAAAGGCAACCTAATTCATCCTAGGCCAAGTCAAAGGTTCTCAGACTCATCATCCTCTCCATCAAGGAAGGGATTATAACCCTATTTTATAATACATCCAAAAGGTAACATAATTCCTCCTTCTGGACCGAGTCAAAGGTTCTCAGACTCGTCTCATCCTCCTCCAACGAATGGATTATGGCCCTTTTTTGTAATGCATCCAAAAGGTAACATATTTCCTCCATCTGGGCCAAGTCAAAGGTTTTCTGACTCATCACCTCCTCCACCAACTAGAGGATTTTGGCCATATTTTGTAATGCATCCAAAAGTTAACTCAATTCCTCATTCTGGTTGAGTCAAAAGTTCTTAGACTCACCATCTTCCCCACCACGTGCACCGTATGAACCATTTTTAAGAATGAAACAATAATTTTAAAATGTATCCAAACATCATACATGGTTCCTCCATCTGTGGTTGGGAAGGATATCAAAATAACAACTGTTAATAAAATTTGGTGAGTAGAAAAAAGGTAAGAGTTTAGTTTGAACCTCACTCATTTTTCTTTTTTTTTTCTTCCCCACTCCCTTGTTTTGTTAGGGGAAAAAACAAGAGATAAACTGAAATAGAAATAAATAATTGTTCCAATGGAACCTTATCCTCTACCTCTACTGGAGATTGAGAGTCGTTACACGATCCAAGCCACTAAGGGCTCGTTTCGTTTTTGTTTCTTGTTTCTGTTTCTTTATGAAGAAAAATGTATTGCATGGTTTCCACTTTCAACCTCTAAGAATTCAAACGATAAAACAATCTTTTTATTTATGTTTTGGAACAAATTGGAAATGGGAACAAGAAAAGTGAAACTTGTTTTGATTATTCCCAAAATTTCTAGACAATTGTGAAAAGGTTCCCAAAAAAATGAGAAACAATAAACAAAGTTACTAGTAAAATGTTTAGATTTCTTAAGAAAATTGGAAACGAGAAATAAGAAATAGGAACTTAACAAACGAGCCCTGATTTTTTTTCTATTTGTTATTAATAAATTTAATAGAAAATTTCGTCCTGCTTTAGTAATTTTTAAATTATGTCACCTATTACCTTTCTTGAACTCAAAAGTTCAATCTCTCCCCGTAGAGGTTTCTTCTATTTAAAAATTTGTCAAAATAGTTATAATTTTATATTTTAAAAATATACGAATATTTGTAAATCACATTAGTGTAATTTTATTTTTATTTCTAAATTTTATTGTCTTGGAATATTTATTGGTTTTGAAAAATAAGTTGGAATTTATTTTGATTTAAAATATATCAATAATTTTATTTAGAAATATAATAATATATCAATGAGTTAATTTTCATTTTACATGGAAAATAATTTTTTTTAAATAAAACTTAAAAATTATCATGTTTTATTTAAATTATAATGTTTATTATTCATTTCATAAGTTATAAAAGATAAATAATAATAATTTTTTATGTATTTGAAAAACTAATAGAAAAAAATGAAAGTGGCAAAAACCTTTTTTTCTTTTTCCTTTCTTTCTTTTTTTTTTTTTTGTAATTTTGGAAAGGTTTCTCTAGAATGAGACCAGAAAAATGTACATTTATTATATATTGAGAATGAGACAATTACTTCCTTAATTAATGTGGTTGATGCAATTTAATTTTTTTTTAATAAATCACAACTTCTTAATTAGAGATATATGTCAGTTGAACTATGCTCATTTTGACTTGTGGTCGTAGTATTGCAATTAATTATTGTGGTCGCAGTAGAAGACTTGGTTTTGGGTAACACAGTCTAAATTATACCTCTTTGAATAAGATCCATTTTGGTCTACTTTTAAAAAATGACCAATTTATTCTAAAATTCACAAATTTTATATACTTTAACACGCTTTCACAAAAAAAAAAACTCTTTAATATAAATTTATAGCTACATATCAATAAATTTAGTGAGCGGAGTGTAAGGATAAAATTACAATAAAAAATGAGATAAAAATGGAAATGAAAGATTAAAATAGTCATTTTTTAAGAGTGCGTTGACTAAAATGAACAAAAGTTAAAAATACAGTGATCAAGACATGTTTAAAATGTACCAGAACCAAAATGAACCAAAAAACTGAATACATCTACTAAAATAAATTTAATTTTAAGATACTAAAACAGTATTTAAACCTTTAATATAACGTCTTAATGTCAATTTTTATGTCATAATATTGTATTTTATGGTTTCATTTACATTTATGGTTAGAAAAAAGAAACAGAAAAAGTAGCAGTAAATGCAAAATATTTTGCATCATAAATCAAAGGGCAAATTTGAAAGGGTTGAAACGAAACCAAATAGTGGGAAAAGAAACTGTTGAATTATAGATAAAAACAGTCTTCAAAGAATAATTGAAAAACCGCACAATTTAATGGCTAATCAATTTTTTTAAAAAAATTAAGAAGAAAATTCTTATATAAATTAGGAAGCATTGGAAGAAGTTGGGAAAAGCACATAGCAAAATGGCATCAATTAGTTCTAAACTGTTTTTAGGAGCTTGTGCTCTTATTTTCCTAGGGTTTCATTTTACGGTCCGCGAAGTACATGGTAGAAATGTCGTTGTAGTTGAAGGAAACTGGGAATCCGTCATTTTAAAGAAGAACCCATGGTTCAATTTTGGAATGTATCCAAAAGGAGTACCTATTCCTCCATCTGGCCCGAGTCGAGGGACATTTGACTTGTTTATTCCTCCACCACTTTCATCCACTACTTTAGATGAGCTAAAATTCAATTTTGGAATGTATCCAAAAGGTGTACCTGTTCCTCCATCTGGTCCAAGTCAAAGAACATCAGACTCGTATACTCCTCCACCGCCTTCATCCACTATTTTAGAGAATGAATCAAAGTTCGACTTCGGAATGTATCCGAAAGGTGTACCTATTCCTCCATCTGGGCCTAGTAGAAGGTCATCGGCAGGCAAATATACTCCTCCACCCCCTACTTGGACTGGGCCACGTTATCAAGCACCATTTCCATTACATGGACTTGGCCACCGTAATAATCCACCACGCTACCGCGTCCCGCCACATCCATAGTGACAATCCCCTCATTTTAGATCTCTAATCACTCCTAGTGCTACAAGTGTGGACTGAGTGGCCTCCTTGAGTGCCTTAGCATAGCCAACAATAAAAACCTTTCCTCGTAAGAGAAAAATTTGAGAAAAAGCAAGTTTATTGATAAAATAGTGAGGAGTGAGATTTTATAATTTTTAAATCATGTCAAGAGAATAATAATTTCTTTGTATGATATGAATACGTCAAGAATTGCTATAAATCGAGTGTGATTTTTATTTGCCTACCATTGAATTTTTTTTTCCCTTCCAAAAATAAGTTTTAATTCATTTTTATTTGACCTTAAGAAATTAAGAGAATTTTACCGTTGAATTTTCAATTTTATAATTAAGTTATACCCTTAACTTCATAAACTTGAAAGAAAACATAGAAATTATAACAACTAACATAATTGAATATTGTAGTTATATAGAATTATGGATTCCACCTTAATTCAATTTTTTTAAAAACACAACACTCAGATGATTTGTCAAATACTTTAATTAAATCAACCAAATAAATTTACACGATCAAAGATCATTATGAACTCAACCTAGACATAGTTAAACTCATTAAATTAAGATATATATCATCAAATACAAAGTCAGAATCATCATGGACCATGGCATTAGAGATGACAAAAATCTTTTGCAAATATTAACATTCCAAAGAAATTTCAAATAGGAATAAATAAGAATACGAAACGGGAACAATTAATATCTTTACATTACTCAAATTAGTCTATGGTTCAATCAAAGAAAAGACGGAAGAAAGATTAACAAAACAACATCATAAATTTAAGCTAAATATACCTATTATCCCTAATTTGTTAGGTAATTTTCAATTTAATCTTTAATCTTTTGAAGTTCTCAATTTTACCTTTACTATAATGTTATTTTTTGATAAAAAAAAATATCATATAAAGTTATTATTTTATTAACATATTTGAACATGTAAGTTCAATATGTAAGTTCAATTGTTCAATTCATAGATGAAAGGTAAATCAAGTTAGAAATTATCATTTAGAAAGATGACCAAGTGGTATCGATCGCATCATTTGAAAGAAATAGATTTCGTTGATGTGCATGTCGAATCACACCTTTTCTTGTAAACTTAGGCTGGAAATTGTTCTATCTATTAGTTGCCCTTGGTGCGCATTGCCTCCGACCTTTAGGTTGTTCTCCTTAGTTCCTTTTACCCCGACCTTTAGGTTGTTCTCCTTAGTTCCTTTTTTTTACAAAATCACTTTTACACATGGAAAACAGCCCTACAAAGAGAACTTAAATCTAGAGTAAAAGGGGGCTGTAAATAAAATCTGGTTTCTAATGAGATATAGCAACCAAAATGCCATAAGAGGAATTAACAACCATATTACATGAACGTACAAAAAGCCAGGTACATCTCTATTTTGAAACAGAAGAAAAACTGAGAATCCAAGTATCTAACTAAAACTACCCCCATATTAAGCAAGCACTTCTTTAGTTGAATGATAAGAGAGGGAATAATAGGTGAGGCTTTCTAACCGTGTCGTTAAAACTCAACGAGATTCCCAATCCTTCAACTTCTTGCTTCCTTTCGGTTTCACTATCGGCGAGTTCATTCCAGCCATTTTCGCGTTGTATTTCGCCCGAAGAGGGTCATTGTAGGTCCAACTGCATTACAGTAACAATTTAAGTCACTCAAACTGCAGAACAACTTCCACAACAATGCTACAAAGGAAAGAAACAAACAAACAGAGAAGATCCCTCGAAACAAGGGTAACTTTCCAATCATATCTTCATATTTCCATCTCAAATACTCAGGCTCAAACCCTAATTCTTAAGATTTCATTCTATACTTAGCATAATCTCAATCACAACTAGACAAGGAATCAAGAACTAATATTTTGATTGAGACTGAGGGAAAATTTACAGGGTTGGCGGAGATTCAAGAGCTCCATTACCTCTCCTTACAATCCTTCCCAAGAAAATGCTAGCTAACAGAAAGATATCCCCACCCTCTACGTAACCAGCAGTACATAACTAAATTACCATTTCCACAAAACGCCCAGTAACTAACTTGGGACGCACACTAACAGAACATATTCCCTCCTAACACTATTCTCCCTTTCTACCCCTCTACCTTGAATACACCTTCGTAATCGGAGGCCTATCACATTTTCTTAAAGGTGAAATTACAAGTTTAGTCTCAGAGTTGTGTTTAATAAGTTCCTGAACTTTAAAAAGTGTTTGATAGGTCTAAACTTTCAATTCTATGTCTAATAGGTCCATCAACTTTAAAAGTATCCACAAAATTGAAAGGTTAGGATCCTATTAGACATAAATTGTTGATAAGTTTATGAATTTTAGTTTATGAATAGGTCAATGATTTATTAGACACACAAAATTGAAAGCTTAGAAACTTATTATACACTTTTAAAGTTCAGGAACCTATTAGACATAATATTGAGAAAAGAACCTATCAAACACTTTTTAAAGTTCATGGACTAAACTCAAAATTTGACCCTTTTTTTTTAATGATTTATGGCTAATTTTTCTTAAAAATAGAAACTCTAGAATAAGAGGAAGGCCAAGGAAAACTGACATTACAATTATTTATAATAGTAAACTGAAAAGCAGAAAGCAATCAAAGTTAAAGCCAACTTACGGGTTGTTCCAGTCAGTTGTATCTTCATTGACAAGATGAGTCCATTTCGTTCTCCCACTACGACCAAAGTGCTTGACCTGCATGACCTTTGGCAATATTGTCTTGTCCATCTTATCTTCTCCAGTCGGGGAAGAGAAATCGCGATGGAAAATAGAATCACTTCCAGCAGTTCCAGCATTGTCATCAGCATCTTCCTGAAAGAAAGCTCCCTTGTGGTAATATTTCTGCATGAACTTCCACTTCTGTTTTGGTGTTGGAGCAGCTTTCGGGTTCTTCCTCTCCCATTCTCTCCGCTCTTCCTCTGTCATATTTCTCACCTTCTCAATCTCCTCCCTCTCTTTCAACATTGCATCTCGCAATTCTCTATCCCTCTTAATCCTGGCAATCTCCCTAATCTTCCAAGCCTCGTATTCTTCTGCTTCGTTAATTTCGTCATCGGTATCCACATCTGCAATATTTGCCTCCATTTCCAAATTCTTCTGGATCTCTTCATCCTTTCTAATCTCCTCAACCACAATGTGCTTGGTCTCTACCTTCCGTTCCTCCAATCTCCTTTTTCTCAGTTCCTCAAGAGACCTTTCCTCCTCTTCAATACGCTCTCGCTCTGCAATAGTTTCTCTCTCTGACTTAGGAACAAAGATTGGCTTAACCATTGCGATACTGGCAGGTTCATCTTCTGAGTCAGTTTCATACTCAGACTCCTCTTCTTCCTCTTCCTCCGGTTCCTCTTCCTCTTCTTCGGTAGGGAATGCAGCTTCTTCTAGCTCCCTCTGTCGCAACTTTTCCTTGATTCTTCTTCTTCTCTCCTCCAAGGCATCCTCATCCTCTTCCTCTGCATCCAATCCTTCCTGCCTCCGAGTTTCCTCTTCAATTGTCGAGACAATTTCTGCTTGGCGAATCCGCCGATGATCAGCTCTAACCTCCTCCCGATTATCAATCCTACTCTCAGCTAAACGCCGCAACCTAGGGTCATCTTTCCTAGAAATGTCGGAATCCTCCTGACTAGGAAATGCTTTCTCGAGGGCCGCCGCCCTGGCCATCCTAATATCGCCATCTTCATCAGCATCATCCGCCCACTCGGGAGCCTTTCCAGGCCAATACCTCTTAACTTTCGTTTGTCCAATTTTACCTCTAAGCTTATCCCTTACAGCAATTACAGTATCACTAACCCCTGCCGTGACCGACATCGCTACTTAACTAAATTCCCAAAACCAAAATCTACACCAAAAGGAGAAACTCTGTCCTTTCCAAGTTAAAATCCCCTACTCGATGAAGCTTAACTAAGACCTCTCGCAAGCCGATCGATTCAGATCGTGGTTTTGAATCATAAATGGCATGAATCGTTCGTTTTGCATATTGAATCGGAAGAAATGGAACAAAAAGAAAAGGGGCCTTTTACTCACCTGAATCGCGGCACATCCACTGACGAGAAAGAAACACAGAAGAAGAAGAAGAAGAACCACCGGCGCAGAAGAAGGAGGAGGCGGCGGCGATGAGAGAATATCAAACACAAACCCTAGACGGAGTTGGAGAAATCTGATCGGCGAACGAAGAGTGCGGCGAGGATTAGAATCTGTAAAATTTCTGTAGAATCGACGGAGAGGGAGAGTGGAGGCGCTTTTCAATTTCTTTTTAACCATTTTTTGGGCTAAAAACATTTTCGTCAAATTTTATCAATAATGTAACTTTGAAAAAATATATATAAAAATAGAGTAGCTTTCAAAGTATAGACAAAATTTAAAAAATGTAAATTAAATTTAAAAAAAAACTATATTACATATACAGACTATTTATTTATGAATGTCACGTATGATCTAAGGTGGAAAGGGTGTAGACTAGTCATCAAATCACATAATTTTTATACCAAATTTCTGTTGAATCATAAATCACGTAAACGATCTTACTTTAAACGTTCATTTTCTTACACAAACCAGATAAATTACCTCCACTTCATTAAGATCTAATTGATAGTGGAGTCACGTATACTTTAAATCGTAGTCATACATACAATTTATCGTACTCGTGTACATGATTTATACGGAAATTACCTCCAACGTACACAATTCTCTTGAAATTGTATGGATTGTACGCTAATTAGCTACCCTAGTTTCAAAGGTATTCTATTCCTATATTTAAAAAAGATACTATATTTTCAAAAAAAAAAAAAAATCCTTCATTTAGTATTCAATATCCATTTCAAACTAAAATTTTAAGAGCTTTATAATCTGATAAATATGCTAAATAGTTTATAATATTTTAGGTAATTTTCAATTTATTCTCATCCCTTTGATGATTTCAAGATTTCTTTTATAAAACATATTAATAGATTATTATTATTTTTTAACATGATTTATTTAATGAATCCAACTTTTTTTTCCCATTTTTTAAATTTCAAAGTCACTTCACTTTAGATTAGTTTAATTTATCTTTTAACCAATCGTATGTTGGCCACTATTATAAGTTTATTAATTTCTAGTATTATTGTGGTTTATGTAATTAAATGGTGCTTTCACAAGATTCTGATCTCTTAATAACACGAACGAACACTTGTGCGTAGGAAAATAAATCACGACACTCAAGCTAGAAAGAGTATGAGATATTTAGTCAAGCACATACCAATATCTCAATACATACTCATCCAATCTGTGTGATTTCAATCCATACTACGTCAGTTTGTTAATAATATATATTTGAAACCACGCTATTCATCTATTAAATACTCGACAGTGAAATAACAACAACAAAATATTCGAATAAAATAAATCTTTTGGATCCAAAAATGATACTTAAACCCAAAAAAGTCTATTGTAATTCATGTTAAATTTTCGTAACTTTTACCTGGCTGCACCGTATGGACAAGTGCATTAAGATTTATAAAATCTATAATAAATTCAATGCAAAGACAAACAAGATCCTATAAATGGACACAGATCAAAATACGACAGTTGAAAATATAAAAAATTAAAACAAAATTTTGCAGCAACCACATTTTTTTTTATATAACAAGTTAGAGCTTTCCTCTATTATACCTGGGTGCATTCACGCCTCCACCCTCCCAAGGCCCGAACCCAGGAGACATCAAGGGTTTTTGATATTAAGCTCATCAGAAGGTTCGAATTTGAGACTTCTAAGCCAATATAACTAAGAGGATTCAAGTCCTTGCCAACCGAACTGTCTCTTGGATATAGAAACAAATATCATAAAGAAAAAGGAGAAAAAGAGAGGCCAATTATCGATGACCTCTCTTTCTTTCTCTATTATTGATATTTTCATTTAAGAAATAGAAAAGCAATGACTCCAGTAGGTAGTGCTAGAAAATGAGTAGAAGATTTGCCATTTTTTCTGCCATGTTAGATTCAGAGCACATCCCTCAAGTTAAAACTTCAAGTTCCCTAATAAAAAAAAAGACCTAAAATGCCAAAATATAAGATAAATACACCATAAACTGGCTTCATTCCAACATCAGACCTATGAACTTACCCAATTGCTTTTTCCTGAGTGAACTGTGATCTTCTCTTTAGCCGAACGCCGAGATGAGGAAATTCTTGTATATGCTCATGAACTTCGCCACAAAAGCTGCATTTTCAGACCACAACAACAGTAAAAAGCTGTGCTTTTGAGAGAGAACCCCAAATGATCTTACTCGGTGAATTGATGATAATTGAGAGGACAGAAAAATGAAAATTACTAAGAGTGCATTTGGTTAGTGATCTGAAAACAGAAATTTGAAAACAATAGATTCAACGAAAACATGATTGTATTCTTTTTTTCACATATATGTTTTGTAGCACATTTGAAAATTGAATCTTAATCTAAACAAACAAATTCAAGATGTTATGTAATATATTGGTAAGTCATTGGTTACCACCTAAATATTTAGTTAATCTAAAATATTATTAATTAATTTATTAACAAAAGTGTTATAAATTTTGTTAAAATTAGTATTTTACAATATTATAAAATTTATAATTATATTATATTTTACATATTTTAATTTTAACAAAAATGAGTTTATAACATGAAATAGTGTATTTATCAATGTTCTATCTTTTTAAATATAACTATCATTTTAAAGTTTGAATTCAAAATATGAAAATATTGAAAAAAATTAATAATAAAAAAAATCATTTTTAGAATTTCGACTATTTAGATTACAAAATTCGAAAATAAATTTTGAAAACAACCCTGCCAATSAGATATTCATTGAATTCATTTGATTAAGTGAATTTGAATAAAAAAAACAGAATCACCCTAATTTTTCCTCCAAATGTCTAATAAATTGGTAAAACTAAAGAACTTTTTTCTTCTCTAAATTTCCATAAAGTCACTAAGTATTTGTTAGGTAAGTTTATCATCAGCCAATTTTAACAGTCCCAGTAGTTAGGGACTAAATTGAAAAATGTTAAAACATACGGGATTAAATTGAAGAACTAAATTGAAAAATCCTTCAAACCTTAGGGCCTCACAAACTAATAGAACCAGAGGAAAAAATATGAACAGGGACATTATATTTTCATGTCACAACTTTAATCCGTGTTATCTGTTTACCAAATAATTACCTTCAATATGGAAGATGGCTTTCTGTCCAAGGCGCATCCTATGTTCCTGGTAAAAGATTTAACCAACAATAAGAAATGAGACCGAACAAATGCCAAAAAGAAATGAAACTGAACAAAGATGAAACTCTCTGCAGCAATATTTCATCAGTGATACCATATTGGCCAATCAGTCATATAAATATAGGATGCTTTACACTACACAAAACGATACGAACTAATAAGTAGACAACGATTGTTATGTAATTGTGATGGTAAATTGGCCATTCTTCATTGGTAACAAATTAGCTATGGCACAGAAATGAAGTGAAACGTTTGAAGTTTAACCAGCTTCACTTTTTTTTCCATTTTAGACAAAATAGATAATTGAGATCGAATCACATACAGGAGTTCTGAAAAGCAAATCATTAGGGACTTGTAGAACTATGGTCGGTATGTTAGACAACTACAACTATTATCTTTCTTCTATTCACGTAGGTTATCAATTCTAATTTCTATCCTTACACTAGAAGGAGGGCTTGAACCTCCGACAATTCTATCCCTACAGTTAAAAACAAGGTTAAAATTATACAGACAAACAGCTCTTCAAATTCTTCTCTATGTTGCTGTTCTATACGTACCATATATTTCATAAATAAGTCTGTTCTATTCAATTCTCAGAATCTCTTAATCCATAAATATTCACCAAGTTTAACATACACATGTACTTAAAAGTACTTTGGAGGAAGCACTTCATTTGTGTTTCTTTCAAAAGTAAAGAAAAGTATTTAATTTAAAAGTAATGCTTTCAAATATAATTCCATACACGCTCAATATATCATGTTGTTGCCTCCTTCCCTGAGACTAGGATGTAACCCTCTAGTTACTTTTGAAGAAAAAGGTTGAGAAATTGCAAAGCAAAGAAAGCTTGGACAACTTGAAATTGGAAAGAGAGGGCATTTATTTGATTGAGATTGATATTTTACTTCCCAGTATAAGTCAGATATAATATGCAGTCCTAAGTAGATGCAGTCAAAAAGCAATTTAACATCAATTGAATAATTAAAAGAGGAATATAAATAAATGACATGACAAAAGTTGAACTTACATAATATGCAGCCCAATGGCAGACCTCATGCTGTAATTCGGCATCCAACTTCTTAAGTAGCTCATAAAGCAGTCTCTGAGTGAGTAAATAACATGAATCTTTTATTCACATTTAAAACATAAGCAATCAATAAAAATCAGGAAAGAATGATTACCTTCAATATAATCTCTGGTGGAATACAATTAACAAGTAGCTCGTATAACTTCCCACGAACCTGGAACAGTCTATAGCACAAAAAAAGCCATTTTATTTCAGACTTCTCATAATTCTTCAACTAGTTAATAAAAAAGAATAGGAAAATTAAACAGTTCACTAGTTCTCTCTTTATATTCCTCTCCATATATTTTTTGTAGTTGCCTCTCTATATCTCACTTTCCAGTCCAACTTACATTTCTCTTCTATATCTATTTTTCATATAGTTCCCTCTCTATATCTATCTCTCTCTGTTGCTTTCAAGTTTCAACTCTATCATTTTTTTTTTTTAATATTACCCCTCTCATTTAATTGTTCTTTGTTTCTAAATTATTTCTTCAGATTCATATATATTTCTTATTGAGTATCAAAAAAAAAAAAAAATCGACCGTGGTAGTCAAAGGCCTCACTCCTTGCATTATGCTCGTAACCACCCACTAATAGGAAGCTTCACCCACCTCGGCCTTGGAAGACAACAAGGATTTTAAATTATTAATTCCTTCGCATGACATTAATTAAACGCAAATTTTAAGAATCAAAAGTAGTTCACTATTATCATTAGGGTGAGACATGGTGTCTCAGAAGTGCCCAAATAATGTATACGAAGAGTAACCACATGCATATGATATGAAGATGTTTTTTATAGCATAAAATACAACACAAAGAACGTACCTCTTAGGGCTTTGCTCCTTCATTATGTCTGATGCTATCTCAGAGATGTACTCCTCCCAATCCATTGGTGGTATTGCCTGGTTACTAGCAAAAGGATACCTAACCCAAAAAATAAAATAAATAAAGAGCTTATTCCCAACCCTTAAGAGATTATTTTCCAAGGTATTTGATGACAAGTAGTGAGAAAGGAGCTTAGATCTGTGAAAAGCCTAGTGGAGACTAACTGCTGAACACGACAAGTCTCAAATGATAGAATAGCTCTCCTCAAACTCCGGTTTGATTTTTCTGCAATACGAGAAGCAAATCCAGGTGGAAGCTGCAGTCCTTCTTTCTTCCCAATCAACTCTAGTACTTTGACGATCTAGCAGAAGGACATTACATTTTCAACAACTACTAAATCCAAATAGTAATGATCGACATGTTCAAACTATCAACATATATTTTTGAAGCCTAAGTTTTCAGGTAAAAGTAAAACCACTAAACAGGAAAGAGGCTTTCCACCGTCTACAACTTGCAAATCAGAAGTCCTGATCCAATAACTATTCTTTTTTTTCCATCTTCTAGTATAACATCTTTACAAGAATAGGCGGAAGATAGTACGTGACAATCAAAGGTGGGACATACTATATATAGAGCATCACTGGAAAAAGCTTTAAATTGTTTAAGCATAAAACAAAAGAGAAAAATCCAGTAAACCAGTTTATATTTTTTTAATAAGAAATCGAGCTTTCACGAAGAATCATAAAATAATATTCAAGGGAGTCGAAAAGGAGTCCAACCTACAGTAAACCCCGCTATAAAGAGGTTTTTCATGTATCAATATTAATATAACATCAGTTTCAATGGTTGACCCAAAGTTCTGTAGTTGAAAGAACAAGATGAATTGGTTGGCAACAAAACCTTTTTTTTTATAAGAAACAAGGGAGACTTTCACTCAAAGAGCCCAAAAAGGGTGAAATACATCCTATCAGACCTCGGAACAAGGTGTCCCTACTCTGAATTTATGATTACATTCTTCTAATTAGCTTACTCAGAACAAGGAAAAAAATTAAAACATTTCAAACAATCACTCTCCTGACCTGCTCCTCCGTTGGTCCATTTATCCGCACATTTAGGCAGCGAGAACGGATTGCTTCAGTAACTCTTGATGAACTATTGCAGCAAAGTATTAACCTGCAGTACGAGCTATATTTCTCCATTGTTCTCCTGAGAGAGTGCTGGGCTTCTCTTGATAGTTTGTCAACGTCGTTTAGAACCAAAACTGATATTACATGATTAAATAATAAGCACCAAAAATCTCAATATATTATGGAGATATATCGTCTTAGGCATACAAGCAAACAGGTAAAACTCGCTACCAAACAAGCATTAACATTATTTAACACTTGTTTGGCAGTGAGCTCATTAACATTATTTAAGCATTAACAACAAGCTACCAATAAGTGTCAATAGGGTTCAACGGGTTAAGGCAGCTATGTCCGACCAGAACATCGTAAGTTCGAATCCCCCACCCCACATGTTGTACTAAAAAAGAAGCTACCAATAAGGCCTCAAGCATGAACTTATAAATGTGGTTGGAGGGGATGGAGAAGAAACACCACCTTTATGTCCCCTTTTCCCTTTGGAGTCAATTGGTCTGTTTTTCGCCATCTCTTTGATTATATCTTGAACGATGTACCTATCTTGAAAACCTGCATCACTGGGAGTGAGCTCCACATGGTTTGTGCTCGATAACGTGGTCAACTCGATATCAATAGTTCTGGTTCCAGCCTGAATATAAAAAAATAAAAGGAAAGGCATAGAGAGAAGAAGAGAGGGAATGACAAACATTTAAAGTTCAACAGCAAAATAAAAACCTCAATTAGTCAAATTTTATGCTATTTTCTAACATTCTGATAGGGTTAAAAACTAAACAATCAACAGATAATTAAATCTCTCAGCAAACTACTGCAACTTACATCAACTTTCCACGTTTTATTCTCCACCTTCACCTGCAGTCAAAAGGTAAGAGATGTTCAAATTCAAACACAGTAAGGCGATCACACGTTTTCCCAGTAAAGAAACAAAACATCAAGAGCTAATCACCTTCTCCGCACTGGCACCGAACATCTGTCGAATAAGAGCCATGACTAGGGTTTTCTTCCCGGAACCGGAGGGGCCATAGAAGAGCAAATGAGGGCAGTCCTGCTCGGTAACCTAGGAGAATAATTTGGGAAAACCCATATCAAAAACCGTCGAATTGAAGAATGAATCCAGTGAATACCGGAGCAAGGCAAAAGAAAAAACAAGAAAACAGATTTTTGTTACCAATTTCTTCAGATTCTGCGCCACGTCCTGGTGAACTGTGACCTGGTCTAGGGTTTTGGGACGATACTTGTCCACCCACAACATCTTCTTCGGCCTTCCGAGATCAGACGCTGTTTGAGAGAGAAAGAGAAAGCAGGCTAGAAATGGCGGGAAAGAAAAGAAACAGAAACTGGGGATGCGGAGCAGAGCTCAACGTAGTAGGCCGTCAATAAGGTTTTAAATGTTTCTCAATAAAATGGTGATATCGAATATTTAAAATTCTAAAAAATATTTAAATTAACAAATAAATATTTTCATATTTCTAAATAAGTTAAAAAAATAATTAATATTAATACTATCTATATATATTAGTGATATTTTTTCATATTTTTTCTATTTTCTTATATTATCATGTAAATATTGACATACCTTTCATGTCGATATCGAACTCATGAACATATGAATATGTCGATGGAAATATTGACGGATATTTAGAACCATGGTATCAATTTTTAACACTTTCAACCTTATAATTCTTGGCAATTGGTCACTGAGTTTGAAAAACTATGATAGTTTTATCTTAATTTTGTTTCTATTTGTTGGTTAAGTTTCAAAATTCATATTTTGATCTCTGAAGTTTGAATTTAATTTAATTTTTTTAATTGGTACGTGGAGTTTGAGTTTGGTTTTTAGTTGATTTTTGAAGTTTGAATTTGATTTTTAATTGGTCTCTAGGTTGAGTCGACTATTAGTTCACCTAATAGAATTATGAGGTTGAGTCGACTATTAGTTCACCTAATAGAATTATGGTATGATAGTTACATATATTGACTAGAATTTCCTAATTAGGCAACAAATAAAATGAAAATATTGTTAGGTTAACTTAATGATGTAATTGAATTAAGAGGCCAATTAAAAATTAAATTTAAACTTCAAAAAACAAACATGTCACTTTTCAATTTCGAAGGAATGAAGATAATAGACAAGTTTACATCAGCATTCTACGTGTCAAAGCGAGAATTTGCAATTTAATCATCACTATTTTTTGATATAATACGTGGGGTGGGGGTTCGAACTCATGACCTCTCGATCAGAGATGTAGGTGTCTTAACCATTTAAGCTATGTTCGGTTTGACTTATAAATCATCACTATTATTGTCATATCAAAGACAAAGTGTATTTTTTACTTAGGTGGTAATGAAATTGTGTTTTATAATTTAGTTGAACGAATTAGTTTTTATATATGGGTAAAAATAGATAAAATGACTAGATCTTTTTTAGTGTAACAAAAAATAAGCTTAGGGATGATAAGCGAAATTTAATCGCAGCTTAGAGACAATTCGAAAAATTTATAATTATATGGACCAAATTAAAACTAAACTGAAACCATAAGGATTAAATTTAAACTTTTTGAAATAACCAACAAAAAATAAATTAAGCCACAAATTATATGACCAAATTTGTAATTATTTTTTAAAGATGATATATACTTTTTAAAATAAATGTTCACACAATGAAAACTAAGACATATACACACAAAATATTTATAAAGTTATCTTAAAATTTTGTTAAATAGACCATTTCAATGCCATTTAAATAACTACCATCCAAGCTTGTTTTATCGCGGTGCTTAAATGTTTATTGTAATTTTAAATTTTCAAAATATTTATTTTAGCTCGTGAACTTTAGAAAACAACTATTTCGATTATTATTGTTATTTTGTAACATCTTATTGAGCCAGTACCCACCTCAACTACGTACTAACCTATGTAATTTCAATATATACTTACGTCAACACGTTAATACAGCCAAAGCAAGCATAGCTCAACGGTAATTGACATATACCTCTAACCATGAGATTGTGAGTTTGAATCCCCTCCCCAACATGTTGTATTGAAAAAACACGTTAATACATATATTCGTAACTATGTTAATTATTTATTAAAAGTGTTTACACAAAAAATGTGACGGTGTATGACCTAGTAAGTCGGCCACAGGGAAGAGCTCGACCTGCTCCAGGTATGACCGTCGGGAGAGCATGACCTGCTTTTCACGTATGACCGCGGGAAGAGCTTGGGTTTCCTTAGAAAGGGATGACCAGCTCAAAGGGTCAAGGTCGGCTGACTGGGATGAGCTGGTGTCAGGAATGAGCTGAAAGGTCACTTGGCGAGAAAAGACTTGCACAAGGGAACAAACACTCCGACGCTCAAGTCAGTTTTGAGTCCGACCTTAGTATGGAGGCCGAGCTAGAATACGATACCTGACTGAAGAGTGAAGTGTCTTATTTATAAGTTGAGGTACCCGACAAGGAATTCGACCAGCGGTTGAGCATGTCGGGACCAAGGTCGGCCTGTCGGGAGTAGCTATTCCAATTCATACTCTTGTCATCTGGAATTTAACTAAGTATGGAAGGTCGTTCTTCCCTTGAATGATCTTCAGGGAAGACCTTCAGGCCGGCCCTTAGGGAGCTCTTCAGGCAAGACCTTCAAGTCGGCCCTCGTGGAGCTCTTTAGATCGACCCTTAGTGGAGTTTTTGAGGTCGGCCACCAAAAAGAAGATCTTCAAGTCAGCCACTTCAGGTCGGTCATCAAAGGGAAGATCATCGACCACCAAAGGGAAGACCTCCAAACTTGGACCTTTTTCTATCCTCCAAGTGGCAGTAGGATTTTCAACCCCCAAACAAAAAGTAAATCAAAATTAATGTCCAAAATTATTGCTTTTTTAAAGTATAGGGACCAAGATATAAGGCTAAATATACGTTTTAGTTCCTATTAATTGAGTGTTGTTTCAATTTAATCCCTATTATTTTAAAATTTTCAATTTGATTCTTTATGTCTTAACAAATTTCAATTATATCGTTTTCGTTGGTAAATGTTAAAATTGGTTGATGACGACTGACGAGCTAATATGACATGATACTTGAACTAAGAAAAATATGATAGTTTGACAACAATTTTTAATATGAATCATTAATCTGTTAAAAAAAATGATACAAAATTTTGTCAATATTTTAAAATTTGGAGGAGGAATTATAAATTTTATATAAGTTAAATATAAGAATAAAAAACATAAACTCTACCGTTCGTTTAAAGAGCACTCATATGATTTCAAACGTTTCAAAGTTTCAATATTGTCAATATCATTATGACATTTTCCTAAACATTTTAAAAAATATATTTTGACCGTTAATATTTGGTAGAATATAAAATAACGTGATAATTAATGTGGAATCTTACTTATAACAATTAGTTAACACTTAACATGTCAAAGTGAAGATCAACGTTAATTAACATATATTTCAAACCATGAGGTTTGAGTTCGATCCCTACCCCACGTGTTGTATTAAAAAAATGACATTTAAGATAATTGGTCGTAGGTCATCATTGTTTTTAACCTTTAACTTTTTTTTATTGTCGTTAAATATCAAATCTGTTATAGTATCCGTCGACCTTTTGCTCAAAACACTAATTATGAATGCAAATCTTACTATGTGTTAGATTTTTATCATTTGTAATTTAAAAACACATTTCGTCTTTAATCGATTTGCCAATATATAACAAACTTAAAAAGATTACGATAAGAACTAAATCATTACAAAATATAAATTACACCAACTAAATTTACACGGAGTAAATTGTCACCTATTGAAATCAGAATAAATCGTTTTTTTTTTCAATAAAAATACAGACCGAAATTGTTTTTCTAACCTGAAATAATAAATTTCAAAGAGTTTACACACAGAAAAATGTGAAAAAAAAAAAAAGAAAAAAAAGGTGGCTTGGCTCCGGGTTAAACGAAAACGAAAACGTCACCCAATGGCCAAGAAAATTCATTCTTCAATGCCATTTGCAATTCGTTAACAACGAGGGAGAAGAACCCAATCTTCGAAATCACCTGTAGCGTGGAAGCGAGCAATTTTGTTGGCGATTTCCCCGAGAATTTCTTCGATTCGAGCTTCAATTTCCTCTTTTCGCGTTTTGGAGGCCAATTTCATTGGAGATTTCCGTCTTTTGTCGGCAATGGATTCAGCTACTTTAACCGTGTCATCATCCATCATTTTGCGTAATTCATCGCAGAAATTACTTCCCGGTAGGAAGATTCAAGCAGGGTTATGTTTCAGAAGGAGAAGGTTCTCCAAGATCTTCGCGGTCTATCCCAATGGCTCGGCTCGCAGCTCTGCTCCAGGGGTCGGTACTTTTGAATTGGATATGGCTTTCTCTTTTCAGTTTTCCAGAGATTATTTGAAAGTTATTTAGTTATTGAACGAATCTGGTGATGGGTTCATTTAGGTGGAATATATTATACATTCATATTCATGTATTCGAAGGTACTTGGTTGTTTGATGCATATATATGATTATTAATTGACTCATGTGAACAAAAAATAAAGCTACCAAGTGTGAAATGGCGGTCTCTTATGAAAACTGTTTGTCTGATAGTTAAACCACAGGTCACAGGTGTAGTCATCTGAAACTTTAATAAGAACCATTTTTATTCTGTGGCAAAACTTTTTGGGGGTAAAGCTTCTGGCACTGGGCTTCTTTGCCTGCTGAATTGGAATACGAATAATTGATTGAATCTTGCAAGAACTCTCTAATGAAAACCTCATCAATCAATATTTGATTGTTATTGGTATTTGGCAATGATAAGCTCTTTAAACTTTATGCCTTTTCTGTCATTTGTTGACCCACGTGTTTGTGTATGGTTCCTGTATATCATGGTTCTGAGAATATTGTGAATTTTACTGGATGTAGCAGGGGGATTCCTCGGCTGCAGATGTTCATAGACGACGAAGTACTTTTGAATCTCTGTTTTGCTATGACAAGGCTATTCCGGAAGAAAGAATCGAGAAGCCTGTTGGAATATCTCTGGCAGAGAAAATAATTGGAGACAATCCCCGTTGCACTGATTGTCATGCCAAAGGTGCTGTCCTTTGCACAACTTGCTCCGGTTCAGGCTTGTATGTCGACGCCATATTGGAGAGCCAGGGAATCATTGTGAAAGTTCGTTGTCTGGGTAAAATTACCTCTCTTCTTAAACTTTTAGAAATGGTTCTTGTAATTCTTCATGGACACTTTTTATTCCGAGCTCGTCAGATTGTTAGTAATCTATTATGGACGCTGTCTCATGTTTGTTATATGGAACTTCTGTTCTTTTGATAAGTTCAATTTTAGGTGTGACCATCATGGATGTTTAACTTTTAAGTCAGAAAAAGAACTCAACAAGTCAGTAGGTGTAGTTTTTTCCTCTAATCACCCTTTATTTCCATATATTTTAATGATTTAAAAGAAATCATGCTGGAAATTATGGAATCTTTTGAATTGAATGGTCTTGCTGTTTACTGTATAAAGCATGTGATTCAAAGGGGCAAAAGGAAGAGAAAAAAATTATTTTTATCACTGTAAGTAGTCTGTTAATTTTAGTCTCAGTAGTCATTACTTCTTGACAAGTTTCTGTTCTAACTCTGTATTCATTGTTTTGTAGGTTGCGGTGGAACTGGCAATATCATGTGTTCAGAATGTGGCGGCCGAGGTCACCTGGCATCTAAATGAGTTGTACAAGTCTTATTTTTTATGGATTCTTCTTGAACCGCAGCCGTCCGAGCTGTAATATTTGGCATTGATGATGCAATGATGACGAGATATACTAATCTTGCAGAGTAGTGATGATCAATAGAGTTCATTTTTCATTTTAGGCGGTTTATGGGATGTCCTTACCATAGTTTAGTGCAATTATGCGTGATTTAGTTCAAATTATTCCCAGTGTTCCCTTCCCTCAACTTTTGTACTCGTAAGTCAAATCAAGTTTTTTTTTTTTTTTGAGTAATTTTTCTCATAACTATCATGGAAAGTTATGGAATGTATGAACTATGAAGACAGAAATATATGGACTAAAAGGAAACTTTTAGTTTTCACAATTACTGCTGGTATCTCTTTGTTTTCTATTTTTTCTTTTATTGTTATCCATTTGATCAAAGAATCTACTGTGAACTTTTCTCTACTGCACAAGAAATCTGAAAGAAAAAAGAAAAATTGCAGGGAAAATGGAAAGAGGATATCACAACTGGAATTTACGTTTCAGTGGGTTTCTCAGAGGGCATTTTTTTACTTATGCCAGTGTCTCTTCATGAACGAGCTTGAGGAATAGTCTAAATCTGCTTCTTCACTTGTTTCCAAGTTGCATGTTGATTAAGCTTGCAATCTCCGCTGAAGCTCTCGAATACGCTGTGGTACCATCGAATCGAACCGAGGATGCTGGGGATTGTCTGCATAAGCCACATAGTAGGCAGAAACACATGCTTGCGGCCATGCCATTCCGATTCGACACTGCCAACAACAACAACCATGAACATTGTCATCCAGATGTTAAATGCCTTCTCAGGTATTACCATTTCCTTAAATTTATGTTTAGGACAGTTCTTTTTTTTTTTTTTCTTTTATAATATCTCAGCTCATTACCAGAAAATAGCCGATCAGGAATGCGTAAATTGCTAATTCTGTTGCATAGCTCTTGTGTATTACGAGTGCCCAGATCCCGCTTATAATGCTGCAGATTGCACCCCCCGAAACCCCGCAGAGAAAGCAGAAAGACACGGTGAGATCGTAGTCTATAACAGCTTCCAATTCCACCTTCTTGAATGCCTCCCAGGTATCGACTGAAGCCTGCACCATCCCTTTATTGTAAACACCAACGTGGACGAAACCCCACCTGTTTCCATGGTTTCTCAGCGTCGAAGCAATCCCCGAGCAGCAATGTGCACAGGAGAAAAGGAACTCATCTGATTCTCCTGCCATCAACCTCATGGCACGGGCAGATCCCTGAATGAAGCTGACAAGGGGGGCGATGACTGAGCCGATCGAAATAGTTCCGATTAAATGCTTCATCGTGTCGTGAAAAGCTGCTCGTGTGTCCTTTTCGTGGCCCCGAGCTAAATTCAAGTACTTTATGCGCGAGATTGTAACCTGCACTATGTTCTTGATGACCTGCAGAGTCCAGGTTAGGCTCAACAAGATTGCTGCTATGAACGCTGCTTTCCAACTAGATCTAAGAGCGACTGCTCCACCAATGCCAGTGACCAAAACAGAGGCGTAAAGAATGCCCACCAGGATCGACCCAAGTACAAAGATTGGAGTTTTTGTCGGAGGGTACTCAGTAGAAACCGATAGAAGTCGAATCGCATAGTTAAACCGGCGATATACCCAACAGACATATACCGACAGAAATAAGGAAGAAACTATGAGGATTGCTCCCGCTGCTAAACCGCCCGCAGATCCAACAATGACAAAGAAAATGCCAGCAGCAAGCGATACCACGGGGCTGAACCAGAATGCCATCTTGAAGGCTTTAGAAGGGCAACAGCCAGTGAAGCCCTGCCATGAGAACGCAATGATTCCAGAGCTCCCAGTAGCAGTCAGCAACGGCGGATACCACTTTTCAGGGTGAAAATGATGGGTTTTAGAAGCCGACCGAAGCCCCTGAACTACCAGAAAGATCACCAAGACACCTACCAGACATAAATGGATGTAGAAAACCAGGCTGCAAAGCCACCTGAAAAATCTCCACCCCGCCGTAGGCTCAACCGGCAGAACCCTCGGTTCTTGAACCTGCAACTACAACAAACAAGATTCATCATTCATCCATATACATGTAAGTCAACCTCCATATACCAAAGATGGATCTGAATTGACATGAATATGAAAATGGAAGTGCTTTTTAGAGAGAGAAAAAGGAGACCTTGGTGGGCGTTGAAGATGGAACTCTTCTTTCTTGAACTTGGTGGGGATTCTGTAAAACTGATGGTGTTCTTGTTTCCATTCTTGCCAGGAGAAAAAGCAGTTCCTAATTCATCAACAGCAGCAGTTGGCGGCAGTTGCTTTCTTCAGAAGTGCTTTGGATTGGTTGTGGAGCAAGTAAACCTTCTTGGAAATTCTTGGCCCTCAAGAATCAACAACATTAAATGCTCTGGATTTTCCACACCTATCAAAAAAATGCAGAGGACTTTCAAGTCTGCTTAGACTAATCATATATAGTATCAACAAGCTATATATATATAATAGTTTTGGTCAAGGTGGGTGTAGGTTTCTGTTGTGATGATGTGGCACGATGACGTGGCGGTTCAAGGGAAGGATGACGTGGAGCAAAGGGTCAGGTATTATCCTTGTGATCCACCTCTCTTCACAAAAAGCGACGCTGCTTTCTGTTATCTGTATCTTTTTCTTCATTATTGGATCCAAAGTTGCACAAGTTAACTGTTACTTTTTTTCTTTTCAATTATTTATTTCTTACTTTCTAAAATGAAATCCACTTTTTAACTATATGATATGAGATGCATTGTTTCCCAACGGAGCAAAAGTTTACAAACTTTAAGGAAGTCATTTACAGGTTTGCCCTTAGTTTTGGTTAAATTACTATTTTAGTCGTCGCGGTTTGGGTTTCGTTTCAATTTGGTCAATATAATTTTAAAAGTTTCGGTAAGACCCATATGGTTTGAATAAACTTCATAAATTAAACTATGGAAATTAAATTAAAGCTTCTAAAATTATATTTGTAAATTGAAACGAAGTTCGGTACAAATTAAAACTTAAAAATCATGAGGACTCAATTGAAATCCTCGTAACAAACTATGAGGATTAAATTTGTAGTCTAAGATTTAATTTTTTAATATAAAAACAGTTTTTTTTTTCGTTTTTAATGTTTGTGAATGATTGGTTTCCAAACTTTGAAGTTGAATGTCAACACCTTTTTATTTTATTTATTTTTTTATTTGGGGCATCTTAATTGATAAGATTAGGGAACGGTGAGGGAGAAAGTAGGACAGCCAAATACACAAGTGCCACGTGGCAGCCAAGTTGGCGTTGTTGCCGTGAGCGTTTCATACATTCTAAAGTTGAAAAAGGTTCAAATTTTACTTCTTTATCAAGTGGTAGACCTTCTTCCCAAAGGGCCAAAAGTAGGGTAGGGATGTAAAGTCACCAATGACAAAGCGAAAACCGAACCGACATATTTTATTTAATGGAAAATGAAAAAAGAAATCATCTTAGAGAACATTTGTTTGTCGGGTGAGAATGGGTATGAGTAAGTTAAATCTGTATTTGGTAACTTATTTATAACTTCATTATATGTTCATCTCGATAAGGATTAAATGGAAATTAACTAAAACTTATCTTTGTAAAATCAAGAGTGTTATGCATTTTTTCTTATTTACAATTGCATATTCTTTACCCTTTTATTTTCGTAGATTTATCAAATCCCTATCACATTCATCCCCATTTATATTTTTCTTTTTCTCCTTTTTTTTTATTATTATACCAATTCAATAGAGTTAAAACTACATTTTCTTTTGCTATATACATCTGAGTTACTTTGATATAAAACGATTAACTAGTTAGAACAAGATAGTTTATATTAATATCTCGAGTTAATTTTGAATAGTTATTAATATAATCTCGACAACATTATTTTCAGACATCTATTATTCGTAGGCATTCAATGAGACAACTCATGACCTCTTGATTAGAGACATGTGTCAATTACTGAGCTAAGTTCATGTTGGCCAGCACGATGTATATTTTAGTCTTCAAACTTAAAAAAGAAACATTTATACCCTAAAATCTTAGATTTTGCTTTTATTTAATCTCTATCATTAACACTATTAACAAAATGCAAACACAAAGTGCCCAATAGATAAATCTTGACTAAGTTAGCATGATGTGGTAAACAACACCTTGCGGAATAAACGGACGTGAGTCATGGTAGATTTTCGTAATAAAGCACCTCAATCAATAGATGGAAAATTGATTTAATATAGTTGTCCTCCGACGACCGTTGGATTCAAATTCAAAACATGTTTACCTTAATGACCGTCTCCTACAAATTTGAAGTGTAGTTGTAAATTTATTTTTCATGAATATAGAAGCCTCCTCCAATAATTTATCGGATTGGATTGATGGAAAATTCAAGCCCATTTAGATATTGGAATTGTTGGGCCACAATTGGAAGCACAAAGGGAGCCCATTATAGATCACCGACAGAAATTAAAAAGCACGTGGGATTCTCGTTGTTGAATTAAATTCCTTTCTTTCATATAACCACAAATAGGAAAAAAAAGGCTGCGTTTTTTGCAATTTATTACAATATATTTAATACCAATTCTCAAAATATAAATTCAAAGTTTAAATACCATTTTGATTCTTGAAATATCTATTTTAATTATTGTATTTTTAATTTTTATTATTTTAGTCTATATACTCTCAAAATATTCGTCTGAGTTCAGATACGTTTAAAAAATAACCATTTTGATATCTCTATTTTTGTTTTTACCTCATTTAGTTGTATGATAACAATTTTGTTACGACCCAACACTCACAAAATTTATTTGAATTTATCGAAACGTAGCCATAAAATTATAACTATGTGTATAAAATTTTTTACAACTAAAAACCAAAACGACCTCTTTCTAAAATTACACCAACCAAAATGAATGTTTTGAAAATATAAAGTGTTCAAAGTCATACAATATTTGTTTGCTTTTGTTTATTCCCTTTCACATGGTCCCAAATAAGTCATTATTTGTTTAATGAACACGTCATGCCATTATTTAACTAATGACATTAACCATACATAAATCAGATAAAATAAACTATATTTACACCATTATCAAAGTTTAGTATCTATCTACACAACTCGACTAGCAAACACATGCCCGACTGATCTACCTATAAAAAATATGAAAAAATGCCAATCTGAATATAGTTCAACAAAAACAAAGTGAATGAATACGAGAACTTAATTGATATTGCAAGCAATATGCCGAGTGATGTACCAACCAAATCAGCTCGACTGGAATATTTGATTGAACAGAAGAACAACGGATTGAAAAGGACAGTACAATTGAAAATGGGAGTCTGATATAGATATTAATTTGAACAAAAGAACTCAAATAAGTATTAGAAACCAAACAAAGATGGAATTCTAGCTTGAACTGATGACCGATCTACGATAAGACGCAAATTGAATTTCGGCACTCTTTTATTTCGTCTTTCTCTCAATTCATTGAACACCTCCTCCAATACCTCACCCTACCAATTTCACAGCTCTACTTTTTTCGCTAAAGCATATATATCCAATCTAGATATCGTGAGTTCGAGTCCCTATCCCACCGTGATATTGTTGTAAAAAAAACATAGAAGGACTACATTTGTAATTTAGTTTGGTTGTAGAGAATGTTAAATTACCAAAATAGCACCAAAAGACAACAAATTCTAAGATTGTTCCATGGATAAAGGGCAAAAAGGGAACCAAAAAAAAAAAAAGGAAAAGCTTCCACAATACCATAACTAAAAAAGCACTCCCACCACCAACAATGGCAGCAAGAGAGAGAAAGAGACCTAGAGAGAGAAACATTAGGTTTCCCCTTCCCTTCAAAGCAAGGAATCCCCCATTTCAATTTCCACCATTAATGAACTCTTCTTCTTCTTGTCTCTAGCTCCAAAATTTTCCCACTCCATTTTCTCGGGAAAATAATGAGTCTCAAACTCCTCACCATCTCCTTCCTTCTAACCTCCACTCTCCTCTCCTTTCTCTTCATCCAAACAAAATTAACCAAACCGATCGCCGCCGTCAGATCCCTCTACTTCCCCGAATCCAATCGATCCTACGCCGTCGCCTTCGCCTATCTCATCTCCGCCTCCGACGGCGACGCCGCCCGCCTCAAGCGCCTCCTCCCGGCGATCTACCATCCCGCAAACCACTACCTCATCCACCTCGACCAGGCCGCCTCCGACGTCGACCGCCACGAAATCGCCGATTTCGTCGCTCGGAATCCGGTCTTCCGCCGCGTCGGGAACGTCTGGATGGTCGGAAAACCGAGCTTGGTGACCTACAGAGGGCCCACCATGCTGGCGACCACTCTCCACGCCATGGCCATCCTCTTGAGGACCTGCAAATGGGATTGGTTCATCAATTTGAGCGCCTCTGATTATCCCCTGCTTACTCAAGATGGTATGGTGAGTGAAAAATTAAGCAATGATTTGTGTTTAGAGATTTCTGAGCTTTTGATTTGGAAATTGGTTCCTTCGGGTTTGAAGAATTTTTTGTGTGATTTCTTCTCAGATCTGATTCATGCATTTTCTGAGTTGCCAAGAGATCTCAATTTCATTCAACACACCAGTCGTTTGGGTTGGAAGCTGTAAGACTGCTCTTCTTTTTTCCCATCGCTCAGTTCTTTCTTCTCTTGTTTGAGTTAAATTTAAAAAATAAGTCTCTAAATTTTTAATTTTATCGATCTATTTCCTTAGTTAAAAAATTAAAAATGTTAGATTCACTGAGTTAAAAGATTAATTGTTAAAATATATATGTTAAGTTATTATTTTATATTTGGATTTTTTTTTAATCTCTGGGAATTTCAATTTAGTTCGTATGATTTAGTTAAATATTTTAAATGTCTGCTAACAATTTTTTTTTTTAACTTCATTATCTCTCTACACCATCTAATGAAAATATGTCATTGAGAAAATTAGAAAAACTTTCCAATAATGGGATAGTATGGTGTCATTCATTGTTTGCGATTGAGAGTGAAGTTAGGCTTAACAGAATTGTTTAAGACAAATTTATGGTATCACGACATGTTAGAAATTTCTTCGAAATAAAACTTATCTAATACCAATAAAGATGAAATTTAATTTAAAACTTGTAAAACTATAGGATGATTTCTATAATGAGGATTTAAGCTAAAATTTATATATGAAATATGTGATTTTAAGAGGTTGAAAAATGTTGTTTTTAGGAATAAGAGAGGGAAGCCTATAATAATAGATCCAGGCCTTTACAGCATGAACAAGTCAGATATTTGGTGGGTTATCAAACAAAGGACTCTTCCAACTGCATTCAAGCTCTACACAGGTCAGTAACCATTCAAATCCTTTCTAAATCCCGTTCGATAACGTTTCATGTTTATAGCTTAGGATTTCATATTTCTATCAAAGAAAAATAGGCTTTCACGATCATCCCAACATCTATAGATTCAAAAATGGTAAACTAATATTTGTATTTATATTTTTAAACAAATCGAGAACAGGAACAGAAACAAGAAACTGATTTTGATTTTTGTTGTTTTAAAATTTTTTAGGCAATTTTGAGAATGTTTATAAAAAAAATAAATAATAAACATAAATAGTTGTCAAATACTTGGATTTCTTAATAATATTGGAAACGAAAAACTAGAAACTGGTTTCTATACTTTCAAGTTTGATTCATTTTGATTCTTGTATTGTTTGAAAGGTTCGTTTTAGTTTATAATTTTTAAACGTGATCATTTTGGTCGATCTATTTTCATTTTTATCTCATTTTTTAATCAAAAGTTTAGCTATACACTTCACTCACCAAATTTGTATTAAATAATTTTTATCTTTTCTCGAACCGATATATATATATATTTAATTCTTTTAGATATAAGCATGTGAGGCTTCTGCAGGATCTTAATTGGAATTAAATTAGGATTATGATATTATTAGTTGAGGACAGGTGGCATGTGAGCTAATTAAACTATTAATTTTCCTAGGGACTAGATACTGTTTGTTTTGGACTTTTCTGAGTTTTTTTTTATTTGTTAATTTTTTAATGGGTTTTGAAATTTGAACTGAACTTTCAAGGGATTGCTTAAACACATGGCAATTCATTGACCATAGTACCTAATTATCTTGATAGTAACTTTAGACTTGAAAAGTTTGTTGAAGAAGTTATATATTGTTAACTCTGAGATGCACATAAGTTAGCTCAAACACATGTATGTATATATAAGAAAAAAGGCTTATTTTAGTCAATTTATATATGGAATAATCCTCTGATCGGGAAACATTTGAGTCCATGATCCCGAGACCTCAACTAAGTAACTTACGATCTCGAACCATCTAAATTGAGCTTGTTACTTTTC